TGATTCTCTCTCATCATTGATGTTTCTCACTCTCTCTCTCTCTCTCCCTCCCTCCCTCCCTCCCTCTCTCTTCCTCTCTGAAATCAATAAAAATAAAAATATTAAAAAATAGGAGATGCTGGTATATGCATAGAGGACGGGAGGGAAATCATCTTTTTAGTCTCCATATGCAGGATGAGCATTTTAAATAGAGAATAAAAGAATGCTATTTTTATTTAGCTTATCCTAGAATTTTTTTGGTTCTGGAAAGGTCCTGCTACTTGCAGTTAACTCATTCAGTAAATAGTGCTTACCTAGAATTGATTGAATTGAACTGAGGTGTGGGACTAAATTGTTATAGTAAGGGGAGAAGTGCTGAAGATCAGATAAAAGTTACGAATGAAATGATAGCAGTCATTACTTCTAAAACTTAATACTACACCATACAGATATTCTGGTTAATATTTCATGTACGTGGTTTATAAAGTATATCTTACCTGTCTGTTAGTCCACTTGGAGATCCAGCAATTTTTAAACCCAGCTGTATTGTTTTTACAATTATAAAGATAACATGTTGCTTCTAATAAACAAATTTTTAAAATACAGAAAAAGTTAAAGAAATTTAAGATTACCCAAGAATCTCATATTTTGGTGCTTATCTATACTTTATGTAAATATATACTTTTATGAATACAGTTTAAATGGAATCATACCATGCATACTGTTCTGTAACCTTACTTTTAAAATTATTAATATGTCTTCCCATGTCAGTATATAGTGAGCTATGTGATTTTAAATGGTTGCATAGTAATTCATTTAATGAACACACCAGAATTTACTAAATCAATAATATTGGCAGACATTTAGGTTATTTCCAATTATTCCCTGTTATAAAGAATACTTTAGAGAATATATTTGAACACTTGTCTTATTATTTTTTTAAAACAAATTCTAAAAGTAGCATTACTGAATCAGAGAGCCCTTCTGCCCCCTCCCCTTCCCTCTCCTCCTCCTCCTCCTTCACTTTCTCCGTCTTCTTTTAAGGTTTTTGATGCTTGTTACCAAATTGTGCTTCTAGGGGGTCCTTGAAAATGGGTATGAATGTATTCATCTGTTTTAAATGAAATTTTTTGACTCCAACATTAAAAATTAAATTCTCTGGGATATAGGTGTCCTGTAAATTCATATTGAATCAAATAGTCGATAATGGTTTTAAGTGTTATCTGTGTCCCAGAACTTTTATAGTTTTTAAGATGGATTGGAATCTCTTTGTTATGAATTTGCAAAGTAAATGGGAAACATTTTTTTCCCTTTATTTTCCTGGACACAGGAGAAACTTTAACACTCCGTAAAAGTCTGTTTATAACTTATAGGTCAAAGAATTAGAAGAACAACTAGAAAATGAAGCACTCCACAAAGAGATACACAACCTCAAACAGCAGCTGGAGCTGCTAGAAGAAGATAAAAAAGAACTGGAACTGAAGTATCAGAATTCTGAGGAGAAAGCCAGAAATTTAAAGCATTCCGGTAAAAGCGTCGAGTAGGCTACTGTGTCCTGTTGTTAATCTGTGAATCTCTCAGGCCCAGTACAAAACCTGGCATCTAGTTAGTCCGGAAGGTTTACTGAATGCTATGAAAACACGAAGACTCACTTTTAAATTCCTTTCTTTCTAAGTATTGCTATTCAGTAGTGGAATGGCCTTTGTAATTAAATGATTCACAAATATTTAGACTTCTTTTTGGACTCAGAGCTGTTGTGAGCATCACACAGAATTAAGAACAAAGATACCATTAATATGGGAAGGCCCAAATTCCAGCATTTCTCAGGACTTCAGCTACGAGTGTTCATTAAGTACTTATTTTGTTCATTTTATGAATACATTTTCAGGGTACATTTTTAAAAAGAAACTTTTTAGATTCATACCACCTTCATCTTTGATGTCTAATTATACCCTTGAAATAATACTTACAACATCACACCTAACAATAAAATGGGCAACAATATATGTATTAAATGGAAAACTTTTAAAACACCAGGGGATACTGAAATCAAAAGGATTTATTCTTTCAGTTCTCGAAAGCGGAACAGGAATGTGTGAGTTGGATTACCGCACGGGGATAAGTAGTAAGTTTCGGTTGGAAGGTCGGTAATTTAAGGAGGCAGGTCATTCCCTTTATAACAGCTTCAATATTCACTTCAGATATTTTGGGTTAATTTTATACTAGAATTTTGAAATCTGTCCAGAAGAACTAAGTTGGCTTTCTTCCTTTAAAATAATATTCAATGCTTTGTGATCCACGATGAAAAGTATAGTTTATTTTTAGAAATTGATCTAACATTAAGAACTATTCCATTCTTTTTAGTGAATATCGGAGCAGCCTGTTGTAGAAAGCCATCTGTCTTTATTATAAGAGGAGGGGCAGACAGAGAGATTTGACATTCAGTTTTGAACATGGTCTAGTTTCTGCTGTGTGTACCCAGGCATATCCTAGGGCACTGTAAGAAATACAGAAGAGCCCAGTGGTGGCTCAGTGGGTGAGCATTGACTTATGAACCAGGAGGTCACCGTTCCATTCCCGGTCAGGGCACATGCCCAGGTTGCGGGCTCGATCCCTAGTAGGGGGCGTGCAGGAGGCAGCCGATCAATGATTCCCTCTTACCATTGATGTTTCTAGCTCTGTCTCCCTCTCCCTTCCTCTCTGAAATCAATAAAAATATATTTTAAAAAGAGAAAGAAATCTAGGAGAGAAGAAACCATGCCTTTTTCCTGAGGAACTCAGATTCCCTTTGGAGAGACAGTCACACGCATATGGAATAGGTAGAGGAGTCGTGGTGTGGGAGAGCTTGGCCCACGCTGCTGCTTTAAGTGTTGCGAGTAAAAACAGGTGGACACGCCATCGGGGGTCCAGTCCGTGTGGCAGGTGGAATGCCTGTGGACACTGCTCTTCCTGAGAGCGCACAGTACTCGGCACCTGGAGCCCTTAGAGCCCCCGTTAGAGGTGCTGGCACCCATGATGGACATTTCAGTTCTGCTCCTTGAAGTCAGGAACGGTGCCTGGAGCAGCACCAGTAGCCCCTTCCACATGGCTGGTGCCTAGTAAACGCCTGTTTCATTCATGACTTGGGTGAACTGAATGAAGACATTATATTCCCAGAATGCTCTTCAGAAGAGCAACCGGTTTCTGAGCCACAGACCCTGGAGAGTGTGAGTCTGGTTAACACCAAGAACACGAAGACGTGCAGTTCCCGAAGGAAACTTGAGTGGAGGAGGGAAGCATGCTATTAAGATTCAGTCCTAAATGTCACCTTTAAAATGAACTCGTGGCCTGTGCATTTTAAAAGTCAAGTATTAACCGTTTCTTAGTGTTGGAGCGGTGTGTTTCATCATTAACAAATACTTCTTCAGCCTACTCAGTCCTTCCCGCCCGCCCAGCCGTTGCCTTGAACTTTGTCTTTTCCCTGGTTGTGTGAGCAGCAAATAGAAGGTAACGCTTTCTTGTACCCCGTGGAAGGCCTCTTGCATTAGTGATAGCAGGCTGGGTGGTGAAAAGTTTGAAAAGATTCTGCAGTTTCATGTTGAATTTTCTCACTTGCCTTCACGAGAAAGAACTTTGATTTTGAGAGCGGTTTTGTTTGTTTGGGTGCGAAGTTGCTCATTTCCGCGCTTTTCTGACCCTGTGCTCTCTGTGCAGTGGATGAGCTCCAGAAGCGGGTGAACCAGTCTGAGAATTCAGTGCCCCCACCGCCTCCGCCTCCACCGCCGCTCCCCCCTCCTCCTCCCAACCCCATCCGGTGAGTGCATGGGGAAGACGGCTCTGCATCAAATGTCATTCCTTGTCAGAGAACCTGAAGTTTCTGTTAATGGGATTTTTAAAAAATACTGGCTCAGGTGGCATCATTAGAGGGATGGTAAGAAATATGAGTGAACCCTAGCCGGTTTGGCTCGGTGGATGGAGCATCGGCCTGTGGACTGAAGGGTCCCAGGTTCGATTCCGGTAGAGGGCACATGCCTAGGTTGCGGGCTCGATCCCCAGTAGAGGTCGTGCAGGAGGCAGCCGATTAATAATTCACTCTCATCATTGATGTTTCTTTCTCCCTCACTTTCTGAAATCAATAAAAATATATTTTTTAAAAAGACGTATGAATGATGTCAGCTGGTGTGAATCCCAGAGAATTCTCCAAAGACCCATGTATTATTCCCTTCTTGTAATATATGCAGAAAGGGCCTTAAAAATACCAAAACCATTCTTGAGGCCGACAGTGTTCTGTTGTAGATGCTCAGATTCCCCGTGGATGTTCCAAACCGCCAGCATTTAGACATTTATACCGATTGTTTTGACACTTCGGTTTTAAAATTACAGCCCATGACATTAGGATTTCCTCTAAACGGCAAGACCGAGCATATTTTAGTTTCTCCAGAGCGTTTTCATCTTTTTTTTCTCTCGCTAATTTGAATTTGGAAAGTGCTGGTCTGTTCAATTATTTTAAAAAGAAAAGTACTAAATGAAAACTAAACAGGACCAAACTAGTAAGCTAAAAGTACTAATTTGTTTTTATTCCTAACCTCATATTTAAAGCTTTAATAACGCTGAGAAAGGAACCTTCCAATAATAGAATCAATTATATTTAAATTCTTGTGACAGGAAACCATATCTGCAGACAAGAATTCACTGTTCCTGAAGCCCAAGGTGACTTAATGGTGTTGAGTGCCTGAAGTAAGCACATACCGCCTAGGAGGGCCACAGTCAGATTTTGGCCTTTATGGGTCTTCCTTTCCCCATGTAGAATGACGTAAGACAATCTACCTGCTCCTCATGTCATGATGTGAGCTGCTCCTGTAGCATTTATTCTTGAACAAACAGAATTTGAAAATTTGCTAGGTTGTTAGCTTTCATTAACTCATGTGATTTGTTTAATCCTTTCACACAGAGAAGCCATTTATTCCAACTTTGTACCTTTGCTGATCCCTCTGAATAGAATGTGTAACGTGTTCCTCCCACACGGCTCTAAAAATGGGACTTGGCATTTTAATACAAATTCTCATTAGTTTTCCTTACCGAGTGGGGTATGACAATTTACTTTCAGCCATTGAAGTCGTTAAAGCAAAATAATGTGTACACGTGATCGATCCAGGAGTCAATTGAAAGAATTTCAGGTATTTTAAATTCTTCCTCTCCTGGGTTGCTAAGTCTGTAGGAGATGGAGATATTCTGAATTTGACATTTAAAACAGGAAATTCATCACTTTGATCTTTCTCTAAGGTCTGGAGTTTTGAGCTGATAAGAAGGTCACTTTTGTCTATGAGGAGGGAGAACTATTAAAAAGCGATTATAGTCTTGCTGTTGGCCTTTAATTTTTAGTCTCAGAAATCATGAGAGCCCTTCAGATTCAAAGTAAAGTATAACCTAAATAGAATATTTTTCCAAAGAGTACTTTACAGCTAAATTGAGAAATGCATATGTCTAAAGTGTGAATTCTTCGATAAGGCCCTTTAAAGAACATTCATTGAATAACATGAATAATTTTTATTTTAAGATGAATTTAAATAGTACAAGACATAATTTCTCAGTAGAAAGAGATTTTTTTTTTTGGTAAGGATAACCTTCTTGTCAGAGAAATTTACTTGAATACAGATTGAGTTTCAGTGGACTTTGAATCCGCTAGTCAAGGTTTTCTAACTTTGTTCCTGAGCCATTTGCTTTACTCTGATGATGAGGGTCATGGGTAGCAATGAAAGTGTGGGAAAAAGACCAGGGCCTGTGGCTACTTTAAGTAGCTTTCTTGCTTTTCCCTCATCTTCCTGCTCATTTAACTGAGGGCACAGGTGGGAGAGAGGAAAGAGAGGAAGAAGGCGTACATACTTTGGTCATTTTATACAGGTCCTGGGAAGGTGTGGTTCACGGGAAAGGGGTAGGTTGTATTAGTGTATTCGTCAGAGTTCTCCAGAGAAACAGAACCAATAGAGTGTGCGCGCCTGTGTGTGTGTGTGTGTGTGTGTGTGTGTGTAAAAAAATGTACACACACACACACACACACACACATATGTATATATAAAGAGATTTTATTCTAAAGTATTGGCTCACATTATTATGGGCATGGACCCAGGATCTGTAGGGTGAGCCAGCAAGCTGGTGACCAAGAAGAGCCTATGGTATAGTTTCAATCTGCAGGTTAGCAGGCTCAGGACTCAGGAGGAGGCAGCGCTTTCAGTTTGAGCCTGAAAGCAGGAGAACACAGATGTTTTACTTCCAAGGCAGTCAGGAAGGAGGAATTCTCTCACTTGGGGGAGGGTCACCTTTTGATTCTCTTCAGGCCTTCAACTGATTGGGCTAGGACCACTCATATTAGAGAGGGCAATCTGCTTTACTGAGACTACCACTTTAAACGTTAATGTCATTTAGAATCCTCACAGAAACACCCAGAATAATGTTTGAGCATATATCCGAGTGCCCTCTGGCCCAGTCAGGTTGACTCATAAAATTACACATCACAGTGGGCACGAGGAACCCTTCTTAAAGAATTTCAAGGTAGCCCTAGCTGGTTTGGCTCAGTGTATAGAGCGTTGGCCTGTGGACTGAAGGGTCCTGGGCTCCATTCTGGTCAAGGGCACATGCCCGGGTTGTGGGCTTGATCCCCAGAAGGAGGTGTGCAGGAGGCAGCCAATCAATGAGTCTCTCTCATCACTGATGTTTCTCTCTCTCTCTCCCTCTCCTTTCCTCTCTGAAATCAATAAAAAATATATTTTAAAAAAAGAATTTCAAGGTGAATATGTTCCATTGAACTGTTCCATCTTTGGAGGGCACTTGCTTGAAGCTTTTATCCATTCATTTGAAACGGGGAGATTTTAGACAGTGGTTTGGATTATTGGTCCCAGGGGTCTTGTCCTGGTCTTCTCACAGGTCCTGCGAGACCCACCCTCCCTATTTTCTGTGTGGTCTAAGCCCCACCTTGACAGATGGTTCTTTTCTGATATTACATGCGATTTTCTTCTGGGTACCATACCAGTCTTTCTCCACTTAGGTGATTTACAGTGATGACCATATATTCTTACTTCCTTTATGTAAATACATACAAATAGTCTGAGCATCGCAAAGATACTCTCCAAATGTCCTCCCAGAACTAGAGGTGTGATCATTATAGGGTGTTGTGAGGGGCTAAGGGGAGGCCAGTGATTAGTCAGAACCCTCTCCCTGCTACTGTCAGACTTAAAACTTCTGACCTACTTGATGAATGTGTAGCAATACGGCAGTGAGGGTTTCATTTGTATTTTCTAAAAACGCATGAAGTCAAGTACCTTTTTGGTATGTGTACTGGAAATTTGGACATTGCCCTTTATGGAGTTCTAAGAGTGTTGTCCATTTTTCTGTTGGGTTATCTCCCCCCCCCCCCCGCCCCTCATTGATTTATAGAATTTCTTTTTATTCTTTATGGTGTCTTTTAATACATGGAGGCTTTAAAATTTTAATGTGGTCAAATGTATCATGATTTGCATTTTAGGCAGATTTTTAAAACAGAGAGTCTATGTCATAGACCAAAGGGACAGTGCTCTTACATATATTTTATCCTTAAGTATCTGGTCTCTGTCACACAGATTCAGGTTATTTTATGCCTCTAGTTCCCAAATGGATATTTACTGAAAACAACCCCTAATTCTTTCATCCTTCCCTCTCCCTCACACGCGTGGCATAGAGAGAGTATTTTGGAATTTTAGATACAGATATTGAATTTTTTTTTACTTTGTAAATGTGCATGCATCCTATTGGTAGTTATCGCAGTCCCCATCTTTCAGTAATTGATTTCACACAGAAAGGGATGAGACACCTTCCTCTTCCCTGAAGTGATGAAAAGTTTGCTAATTTATTAAAAGTGGAAAGTAAGCTGCTTAAATTCTCCTGGTACATTCATACTGGTATCCCTAAGAGAAGAGTTGGATATTTACTGATTCTTTAGAATCTATACATGTCATCTCCTGGATCAGAAGGCGTCCAGTAATCTCCTGTCAATCTTTTTCTTTCTCCGAAAGATCCCTCATGTCCATGATCCGGAAGCGATCCCACCCCAGCGGCAGTGGTGCTAAGAAAGAAAAGGCAGCTCAACCGGAAACAAGTAATTCTCCCCCCCCCCCCCCCCCCCCC